GAATGTACAAATGTGCTTTACACAACTGATGTGTGTACAGCTTGTGATAAGAGTCGTATGAGCCCCCAACAAAATGATTTAAAAAAAGAATGTGAACTCTGCAGTTAAGCTGCCTGGGTTTCAACGGCAATTCTGCTAATTATCCGTTTGCAGAAGCTGGACTACTCTGGGCCTCAGCTTTCTCCCCTGTACGATGGGGCAATAAGAACACAGAGGGCTGTTTTACGGACTGAATGTGAACGTGCTTTGCAGTGCTCCGTGTGATGTCTGACACGTAGAAAACGCATCATTAATCTGAGAGGTTGTGATTGCTCTGGTGAAGTTATTAAAGAGGTTAAGTTGTTATATTGAACATATAAGATCACCACAAAGCGCATAAAGGGCGAAAGCAAAGAGGACCAAATTTTATTCCATGCTGATAAAATCTAGTTCCGCTGAGCCAAAACTTAGCATGCTGCTTGTCCAAATATATCAAAGAGTTGGAAACAGACCTAGCACTCCTTCTTTGCTGCATGCTGACCGAAAGATAAGACATGTGAGGGCCAGATTTAGACCACACCAACTCGTGGTGCATCCCAAGGGCTGGCTAGGTCATATGGCTCTCAATCTGACATGGAGCAAACCAGGAAGCCAGGTATGTCTTGGACTTCAGCGAACAGGAGATAGTCCGGAAGCGCTGCTTGGTGAATCGGCTGACTCTCCAGCCTCAGTGAGGAGGTGGGAAGACGCTTGCCCTCAGTCCCTTAACCCAGTCCTTCCCGGGCATCTTCTGGACAAGGCTGTTCTTGGAGTTTAAACTCCCTCTCCGCTAGTCACATGTTCATATCCCACGGGGAACAAGCAATTCATAACAGTTTGACTCTGTGACCTACAGTGGATAATCATGAGGTTACCAACAGATATATTTTCATGTAATCACCGTTTTTCAGGTTCTTTCTCCTCGATTTAAAAAATACAACCTATGTGTCATAGAAAATTTAGAAAACAGCACTAAGAGAGACTCCTCTCTCCCGAGAAGTGGCTGGTGGGTTTAAACCGCCAACTTTGAGACGAGCAGACCAGTGGTGAATGTTTCGCCATATGTTCCTTAAGACTTTACACGTGTGTAATTTTTAGAAACAGAACAGCAAACGATATTATCTAGATT